AAAGGAAAAATTAGTATTGGAATCAATTGTTTAAATGTAGCAGATGCTTATCGTGTTTCGTCCTTATATTAATTAACTGATAACATTGATATTGATAGCAATGATTGATTAGTTCATGTTTACATTGGTTCAAAACTAATAGCAGCTAATAAACATTTTATAGTGTTTGTTGAAGAAAAACTTTGAATTAATGATATCAAAAATTAATCATGTTTGAATAAATCGCTATGCATTTTTTTTTAGCCACACCTTTTTGGTTACAAAACCTTGAAAAATTATCATTATTCAAGTTATTCTAGCATTATTCATGCAAAAATTGCCACTATCGGAGCTTTTCCAAATCCTATTCATTCAAAAATTATCACTATCTGAGAAATTATCACCAGAAATTATCATTACCCGAGCTTTTCCAATCTTATTCATCCAGAAATTATCGTTTTCTAAAAAATTATCATCAGAAATTATCATCACTATCTTTTCCAGTCTTATTCATTCATCACTATCTGAGAAATTATCACCAGAAATTATCATTACCCGAGCTTTTCCAATCTTATTCATCCAGAAATTATCGTTATCTAAAAAATTATCATCACTATCTTTTCCAGTCTTATTCATTCAAAAATTATCACTATTCGAATTATTCTAGTTTTATTCATTCATAAATTATGTCCATCTGGACCTAGGCTACTTTAATTCCATTCATTCACTGATATCATTTTTAACTATTAATAAACATAAAGACATGTATTTTTAAAATGTTTTCTAACAATTAATTAATTTGGAAGAAAAGAAGGATAATTAATAAAATTAACTCTTTGTCCTTTTTTTTCCCAAAATTCCTTTTGGACGTGAATTTTAAAAATATCTTCTCTCTTTTTCTTTTTTTTTTTTGTTAAATGTCTTTTCTTTTCTCTTCCTTTTTTTTTTCCACACAATGATAAATAAAATGAACGGGAAGGAAATCATTAATTTTCATTTTAGTTGATTGGTAATATCATCGAATTAAATGTTGTAAACGAATGCAATTTATCAATTCCATTATACAGGTATTTAATTGGTATAATTAATTCATGAGTAAAATTTAAATTATACACTAGAATTGATTAATCAGGTATACGTGTGTCACATATATAAATAGAATTTGTTATAATTTCGAAAAGAATACCAATTTTATTGTTTGGAATTAAAAAAATTTTTTTCATTCATTTTGATAACTAATTGAATACAAATTGCTTAATTAATTAATTTGTTAAAGTAGGGGAAAAAGCGAGCATTAGAATTAATTGCTTGAATGTAACAAATATTTATTCTGTGTGTGTTTTTCTTTTTTCTTATATTAATCAACCAATAATATTAATCAGGATTGATGTTAATTACTGTTAATTAATTGATGTTAATTAATTTTGTTATTAGTAATTATCAATCAAATAGTGTAATGTTTAAAAAAAAAAAAAAAAA